AGTCATTTTTAAAATATTGACAATCTAAGAACATCATATGTTTTCACTCTGTTTGCATCATCTTCAATTTCTTTCATCATTATCTTATAGATTCAGAATACAAACCTTTTGCCTCCTTGGAGAGGTTTATACCTAGGCATTTGATTCATATTGATGCAATGGTAAATGGGATTATTTCCTTTATTTCTTGTTCTGATCTTTTGTTGTTAGTGTATAGAAATGCAATAGAACAATATATTAATATGGTATCCTGCAACTTTTTATTGAATTCACAGATGTACTCTAGTAGTTTTCTGATGGTATCTTTAGGATTGTCTATGTATAGCATCATGTCATCTGCAATGACCATATTGCTTCTTCTTTTCCAGTTTAGACTTATTTCTTTTTTTTTTTTTTTTTTTTTTTTGTCTTATTGCCATGGCTAAGACTTCCAAAGCTATTTTGCAAAAAATGCGGTGAGAGTGGACATCCTTGTCTTGCTCCTAATCTTAGAGGAAAGGATTTCAGTTTTTCACCATTGAGAATGGTGCTTGCTGTGGGCTTGTCATATATGGCCTTTATTACATTGAGGTAGGTTCCCTCTAAGCTCACTTTCTGGAGAGTTTTTACTATAAATGAGTGTGGGATTTTGACAAAAGTTTATCCAGCATCTATTGAGATAATCTCATAAATTTTATTATTTAGTTTCTTAATGTGGTGCATCTCATTGATTGATTTGTGTGTATTGAAAAATCCTTGCCTTTCTTGGATAAGTACCATTTGATCACGTATATTATCCTTTTAATGTGTTGTTGGATTCAGTTTGCTGGTATTTTGTTAAGGATTATTATGTTTATGTTTATCAGTGATATTGGCCTATAATTTTCCTTTTTTTGTGGTATGTTTGTCTGCTTTTGATATCAGTGTGATGGTGGCCTTGTAGATTGAGCTTAGGAGTGTTCTTTTCTTTGCCATTTTTGGAAGAATTTCAGAAAGATAGGCAATAACTCTTCTCTAAATGTTTGGTTGAATTCCCTTGTGAAGCCATCTGATCCTAAAGGTTTGTTGGAAGTTTTTTAACCACAGTTTCAATTTCAGTACTTGTCATTGGTCTGTTCATATTTTCTGTTTCTTCGTGTTTCAGTCTTGGAAGGTTATATATTTCTAACAGTTTGTCCATTTCTTCAAGTTTTTCCAATTTATTGGCATATAGTTTCTTGTAGTACTTTCTTATGATCCGTTGTATTTCAGTGGTGTCAGTTGTAATGTTTTCTTTTTCATTTCTAATTTTATTGATTTGAGCTTCCCTTTCTTTTTCTTGATGAGTCTGACTAAAAGTTTATCAATTTTGCTTATCTTTTAAAAGAACCAGTTTCACTGACCTTTTCTATTGTTTTTTCTTCACCTCCTTGTCATTTATTTCTGCTCTGATCTTTATGATTTATTTCCTTCCACAAACTTTGGGTTTTGTTTGTTCTTTCTCTAGTTGCTTTAGGTGTAAAATGAGGTTGTTTGCCACCAGAATTTTAACTGTGATTCTGTTGATTGCTAATCATGTAACTTCGGATACTATTCTCACCATCATAAGTCTTAGTTCCATCATCTGGAAAAGAAGAATAATAACAGTACCTCATAGTGTTCTTTTTTTTTTTTTTTCATTTATTTTCATTAGCTAGAGGCTAATTACTTTACAATATTGTAGTGGTTTTTGCCATACATTGCATGAATCAGCCACAGATTTACATGTATTCCCCATCCCGATCCCTCCTCCCACCTCCCTCTCTACCCGATCCCTCTGGGTCTTCCCAGTGCACCAGGCCCGAGCACTTGTCTCATGCGTCCAACCTAGGCTAGTGATCTGTTTCACCATAGATAATATACATGTTTCGATGCTGTTCTCTCGAAACATCCCACCCTCACCTTCTCCCACAGAGTCCAAAAGTCTGTTCTGTACATCTGTGTCTCTTTTTCTGTTTTGCATATAGGGTTACCATTACCATCTTTCTAAATTTCATATATATGTGTTAGTATACTGTAATGTTCTTTATCTTTCCGGCTTACTTCACTCTGTATAATGGGCTCCAGTTTCATCCATCTTATTAGAACTTATTCAAATGAATTCTTTTTAATGGCTGAGTAATATTCCATGGTGTATATGTAACACAGCTTCCTTATCCATTCGTCTGTTGATGGGCATCTAGATTGCTTCCATGTCCTGGCTATTATAAACAGTGCTGTGATGAACATTGGGGTGCACGGGTCTCTTTCAGGTCTGGTTTCCTCAGTGTGTATGCCCAGAAGAGGGATTGCTGGGTCATATGGCAGTTCTCTTTCCAGTTTTTTTAAGAAATCTCCACACTGTTCTCCATAGTGGCTGTACTAGTCTGCATTCCCACCAACAGTGTAAGAGGGTTCCCTTTTCTCCACACCTTCTCCAGCATTTATTGCTTGTAGATTTTTGGATAGCTGCCATCCTGACTGGCCTGTAATGGTACCTCATTGTGGTTTTGATTTGCATTTCTCTGATAATGAGTGATGTTCAGCATTTTTCCATGTGTTTGTTAGCCATGTGTATGTCTTCTTTGGAGAGATGACTGTTTAGTTCTTTGGCCCATTTTTTGATTGGGTCATTTATTTTTCTGGAATTGAGCTGCAGGATTTGCTTGTATATTTTTGAGATTAATCCTTTGTCTGTTGCTTCGTTTGCTATTATTTTCTCCCACTCTGAAGGCTGTCTTCTCAACTTGCAACTTCCTTTGTTGTGCAAAAGCTTTTAAGTTTAGTTAGGTCCCATTTGTTTATTTTTTCTTTTATTTCCAATATTCTGGGAGGTGGGTCATAGAAGATCCTGCTGTGATTTATGTCAGAGAGTGTTTTGCCTATGTTCTCCTCTAGGAGTTTTATAGTTTCTGGCCTTACATTTAGATCTTTAATCCATCTTGAGTTTATTTCTATGTATGGTGTTAGAAAGTGTTCTAGTTTCATTCTTTTACAAGTGGTTGACCAGTTTTCCCAGCACCACTTGTTAAAGAGGTAGTCTTTTTTCCATTGTATGTTTTTGCCTCCTTTGTCGAAGATAAGGTGTCCATAGGTTCATGGATTTATGTCTGGACTTTCTATTCTGTTCCATTGATCTATATTTCTGTCTTTGTGCCAGTACCATACTGTCTTGATGACTGTGGCTTTGTAGTATAGTCTGAAGTCAGGCAGGTTGATTCCTCCAGTTCCATTCTTCTTTCTCAAGATTGTTTTGGCTATTTGAGGTTTTTTGTATTTCCATACAAATTGTGAAATTATTTGTTCTAGTTCTGTGAAAAATACTGTTGGTAGCTTAATAGGGATTGCATTGAATCTATAGATTGTTTTGGGTAGTATAGCCATTTTGACAATATTGATTCTTCCAATCCATGAACACGGTATATTTGTCCATCTGTTCGTGTCCTCTTTGATTTCTTTCATCAGTGTTTTATAGTTTTCTATGTATAGGTCTTTTGTTTCTTTATGTAGATATACTCCTAAGTATTTTATTCTTTTTGTTGCAATGGTGAATGGTATTGTTTCCTTAATTTCTCTTTCTGTTTTCTCATTGTTAGTGTATAGGCATACAAGGGATTTCTTTGTGTTGATTTTATATCCTGCAACTTTACTGTATTCATTGATTAGCTCTAGTAATTTTCTGGTAGAGTCTTTAGGGTTTTCTATGTAGAGGATCATGACATCTGCAAACAGCAAGAGTTTCACTTCTTTTCCAGTCTGGATTCCTTTTACTTCTTTTTCTGCTCTGATTGCTGTGGCCGAAACTTCCAAACCTATGTTGAATAGTAGTGGTGAGAGTGGGCACCCTTGTCTTGTTCCTGATTTTAGGGGAAATGCTTTCAATTTTTCACCATTGAGGGTAATGCTTGCTGTGGGTTTGTCATATATAGCTTTTATTATGTTGACGTATGTTCCTTCTATTCCTGCTTTCTGGAGAGTTTTAATCATCAATGGATGTTGAATTTTGTCAAAGTCTTTTTCTGCATCTATTGAGATAATCATATGGTTTTTATCTTTCATTTTGTTAATGTGGTGTATTACATTGATTGATTTGTGGATATTAAAGAATCCTTGCATTCCTGGGATAAAGCCCACTTGGTCACGGTGTATGATTTTTTTAATATGTTGTTGGATTCTGTTTGCTAGAATTTTGTTAAGGATTTTTGCATCTATATTCATCAGTGATATTGGCCTGTAGTTTTCTTTTTTTGTGGCCTCTTTGTCTGGTTTTGGAATTAGGGTGATGGTGGCCTCATAGAATGAGTTTGGAAGTTTGCCTTCTGCAATTTTCTGGAAGAGTTTGAGTAAGATAGGTGTTAGCTCTTCTCTAAATTTTTGGTAGAATTCAGCTGTGAATCCATCTGGTCCTGGGCTTTTGTTTGCTGGAAGATTTCTGATTACAGTTTCGATTTCTGTGCTTGTGATGGGTCTGTTAAGATATTCTATTTCTTCCTGGTTCAGTTTTGGAAAGTTATGCTTTTCTAAGAACTTGTCCATTTCTTCCAAGTTGTCCATTTTATTGGCATAGAGCTGCTGGTAGTAGTCTCTTATGATCCTTTTTATTTTAGTGTTGTCTATTGTGATCTCTCCATTTTCATTTCTTATTTTGTTAATTTGGTTCTTCTCCCTTTGTTTCTTCTTTTTTTAGATTAAATGCTTTTATTTTTACATATAAGTTAACCTTTTTTGGATATATCTTTCATCAGGACTCTGCCACATTTACACCATGTTCTTCCAGTGAGAGGGTAAAATTGCACATGAATCTTATTCAAAGAACATGGTACTGTAACAGACCAAAAAAACATGGAACTTAAGCGAGTAGAGAGTTTTGCCACAAACACATTTAAACTTCTTCCCAGTAAAAAAAAAAATCTGTTGTTGCTTCAGAGATAACTTTATGAATTAAAAGGTCTTATAGGACAATCCAGATGAAGAGTCAGCAAGTATTTTAAGTAAATTCCAATGACTTGAACTTCATGTCCAAACTAGATATTCAGTGTTTTCTTTATTGCAAATATGATGTCTTTAACCTGAGGTACAGATTTGTCTTCTAGAATCTTTCCATAAGGCATAGGCACATTGGCACCAGTGACACGAACTGCAGGAGCATCCACGAAATTGAACAAGGGGCCTTCCATGATCCTGGCACAGATTTCAGCTCCTACTCCGAATTGTGGCCAGCCTCCTTCCATGGTTACAAGGTGACTGGTCTTCATGACACTGGCTTCTATTGTTTCAATGTCCATTGGCCTGATGGTTTGCAAATTTATCACCTCACATTCAATTCCCTCTTTAGACAGCACTGTTGCAGCTTCTAAGCAGTAGCCCACAGGTCTTGAATGAGCAACTATAGTTATGTGTGTTCCTTGCCTTTCTATTTTGGCTTTTCCAGTAGGGATCAGAAAATCTTTTGACTGAGCTTCTGAAGGAAGTTCAAAAGGTACTCCATACATCAATTCATTCTACAGCACCTCCACTGGGTTGTTATCCCGAATGGCTGATTTAATAAGCCCTTTTGCATCCTCTGAACTCCAGGGGCTGGCCACCTTTAAACCTGGGCAATGCCCATACCAGGCAGCAAAACACTGTGAGTCCTGGGCAGCTACACCTGCTGAGGCTCCATTGGGCCCCCTGAAGGCTATGGGCACGGACTGAAGGCCCCCTGACATGTAGTACGTCTTGGCAGCTGAGTTTATAACCTGGTCGATGGCTTGCATAGAGAAATTGAAGGTCATGAATTCACAAATGGGCCGTAACCCAGCCATAGCTGCACCTACAGCAATTCCAGCAAAACCCATCTCAGACATGAGAGTATCTATGATCCTCTTATCTCCATATTTCTTCCACAGGCCTCGACTAACCTTATATGCCCCATCATACTGGGCAACTTCTTCCCCAAGGAGAAATACCTTCTCATCTCTTTCCAGCTCCTCATTCATGCCTTGATTTATAGCCTCACGAACTGTTGCCTTCAGTGCAGCCAGCGCGGTCCAGTGGAACCTCCTCCTCAGCAGCCCGAAGACCTGCTCAAGGGGTCTGCTCACCAACACATCAACAACCGCCATCTTGACCGTGTCCTCTCTCCCTTTGTTTCTTAATGAGTCTTGTTAATGGTTTGTCAATTTCCTCATAGAGTTCTCATGATGGTTGAATAAAGTAGTCATCCAAAGTACTTAACATAGTACATGATAACATAAATAGGTGCTAGCCATTATTAACACCTAGGATATTTATTAATCTATGAATCCATCCATTTAATGAATCTTGAGTTCCTACTATGTGTTAAGCACTATGCTGTGCCTGGGGTTAAAAGCTGAAGAAAACAACAAACGATCCCTACTTATATGTAACTTAAGGTCTGGCTCTAGAGGCAAAAATTCAAGGACAAATAAAGGAAATCACAAACACAGTCACAGGTAAATATAATAAACACCATGTAGGAGAACTGCGTGGTATCATATGATTAAATCACAGAAGTGTCATACTTCTGAAGAAGACTATATTCCAATTAGAGAAAGAGGATAAAAGATTTTAAAAATGCAAAAGCAAGTACAGATACCGTGGAGGGAAAAGAATAATGAATATGAATGAACGGGAAAGCCCAGCTGGTTATAGCAGAGAGAAAAATCAAGGTTGAAATGTAGTTAAGGATTAGACAATATAGGGCCTTGAACAAAATATTTAAAAATTTGCTGTTGTCTTAATGGAAATAAGAAGTTATGGAAGGTTTTAAGTGTGTGTGTGTGTGTGTGTGTGTGTGTGTGTGTGTGTGTAAAGCTCACTGTATTTTGGAAAAAAAATCGTTAACTTCATTGTGAGGATGTGAGGTAGATGAAGACAGACCAATTAGGAGGTTATTACAGTAGTTCAGGGAACAGATGATGTTCACTTGGATTAGAGTGATAGCAGTGAAGATTGAAAATAGTGGATGAATTTAAATAGTAAAATCAGCAAGACTTGAGATGGATTGAATATATAGAGTGAAATTTCCTAGAAAGTCACCAATTTTTTGATTTGTAGAACTTGGCGAACAATTGTGCCATTCACTGAGTTATGGTATACTGAAAAGAACCAAGTTGGCAGTAGAAATATCATATATTCTGTTTTGGATACGTTCTATGTGAGTTCATTATTAATTTAAAAAGATATGTCACTTTTTTATATTTTTTACATTTTTTTCAAATGAAGTATAGTTGGTTTACAGTGTTGTTAGTTTCTAGTGTATAATAAAATGATTCAGATATATGTATGTATGCATATACATATATACTATTTTCAGATTCTTTTCCCTTACAGGTTATTACAAAATATTGAGTATAGATCTATGTTTTATACAGTAGGTCCTTGCTGGTTATTTTATATATAGTAGTGTGTATATGTCAATCCCAAACTCCTAATTTATCCCCTCTTTACTCTTTTGTAAACACAAATTTGTTTTCTCTGTCTGTGAGTCTATTTTGTATATAAATTAATCGGTGTCATTTTTTTAAAGATTCCACATATAAGTGATAGCATATGGTATTTGTCTTGTATGATTTGTTTCATTTAGTATGATAAACTCTAGGTCATCAATATTGCTGCAAATGACATTATTTCCATCTTTTTATGGCTGAGTAATATTCCATTGTATGTATGTTCCACATATTCTTTATCCATTCATCTGTCTGTTGACATTTAGGTTGCTTCCATGTCTTGGCTATTGTTATCGTGCTACAATGAACACTGGGATGAATGTATTTTTGAATTATGGTTTTCTATGGATGTATGCATAGGAATTGGATTGATGGAACATATAATATGTTCCAGAATACACAGAAGAACTGTACAAAAAAGGTTGTAATGAACTGGACTACTATGATGGTGTGGTCAGTCACCCAGAGCCAGACATTCTGGAATGCAAAGTCAAATGGGCCTTAGGAAGCAATGCTATTAATAAAGCTAGTGGATGTGATGGAATTCCAGTAGAGCTATCCAAAACTCTAAAGGATGATGCCATCAAGGTGTTGCGTTCTATATGTCAGCAAATCTGGAAGACCTAGCAGTGGCCACAGGACTGGAAAAGGTCAATCCTCATCCCAATTCCCAAGAAGAGTAGTACTAAAGAATATGTATGGAATTTAGAAAGATGGTAACGATAACCCTATATGCAAAACAGAAAAAGAGACACAGATGTACAGAACAGACTTTTGGACTCTGTGGGAGAAGGTGAGGGTGGGATGTTTCAAGAGAACAGCATCAAAACATGTATATTATCTAGGGTGAAACAGATCACCAGCCCAGGTTGGATGCATGAGACAAGTGCTCGGACCTGGTGCACTGGGAAGACCCAGAGGGATCGGGTGGAGAGGGAGGTGGGAGAGGGGATCGGGATGGGGAATACATGTAACTCCATGGCTGATTCATGTCAATGTATGACAAAACCCACTACAGTATTGTAAAGTAATTAGCCTCCAACTAATAAAAAAAAAAAAAAAAGAATATGCTAACCATTGGACAACTACACTCATCTCCCATGCTAGCAAGGTCAGGCTTAAAATCTTGTATGCTAGGCTTCAGCATTATGTGAATCAAGAACTTTGAGATGTCCAAGCTGGATTCAAAAAGGAAGAGGAACCAGAGACAAAATTGCCAGCATTCAAAGTTGCTGGATAATAGAAAAAAACAATGCAATTCCAGAAAAATACCTACATCTATTCTATCAACTACACTAAAGCCTTGGATTATGTAGTTCATGACAAACTATGGAAAGCTCTTAAAAAGATGTGAATACCAGACCATCTTACCTGTCTCCTGAGAAACCTGTATGTGAGCCAAGAGGCAACAGTTAGAATCCTGTATGGAAAAACTGATTGGTTCAGGATTGAGAAAGGAATACAACAGGGCTCTCTGCTGTCACCCTGTTTGTTTAACATATATGCTGAGCACATCATGAGAAAGGCCGGGTTGGATGAATTGCAAACTGGAATCAAGATTGTTGTTCAGTCTCTCAGTCATGTCTGACACTTTGCAACCTCATGGACTGCAGCACACCAGGCTTCTTTGTCCTTCACCAACTCCCAGAGTTTGCTGAAACTCATGTCCATTGATTCAGTGATGCCATCCAACCATCTCGTCCTCTGTTGTCCACTTCTCCTCCTGCCTTCAGTCTTTCCCAGCATCAAGGTCTTTTCCAATGAGTCAGCTCTTCACATCAGGTGGCCAAAGTATTGGAGCTTCAGTTTCAGCATCAGTCCTTCCAATGAATCTTCAGGATTGATTTCCTTTATGATCGACTGGCTTGATCTTGCAGTGCAAGAACTCCCAAGAGTCTTCTACATCACCATAACTTCTTAAGCACTCAGCCTTCTTTATGGTCCAACACTCACATCAGTACATGACTACTAGAAAAAACATAACTTTGTCTCTATGGACCATTGTCGACAAAGTGAAGTTTTTTGTTATTTAATACACTGTCTAGTTTTGTCATAGCTTTTCTTCCAAGGAGCAAGCATCTTTTTAATTTCATGGCTGCAGTCACCATCTTCAGTGATTTTGGAGACTAAGAACATAATCTGTCCCTGTTTCCCCATCTATCTGTCATGAAGTGATGGGACCAGATGCCATGATCTTGGTTTTTTGAATATCCCATTTTAAACCAGCTTTTTCACTCTCCTCTTTCACCCTCACCAAGAGGCTCTTTAGTTCCTCTTCACATTCTGCCATAAGGGTGGTGTCCTCTGCATATCTGAGGTTATTGACATTTCTCCTGCCAATCTTGAATCCAGTTTGTGTTTCATCTGTTTTGCATGATCTTCACTGCATATAAGTTAAATAAGCAGGGTGACAATATACAGCCTTGACGCATTCCTTTCCCAACTTGTAACCAGTCCGTTGTTCCATATCTGATTCCAACTGTTGCTTCTTGACCTGCATACAGGTTTCTCAGGAGGCAGGTAAGGTGGTCTGGTATTCCCATCTCTTGAAGAATTTTCCAGTTTGTTGTGATCCATACAGTCAAAGGCTTTGGTGTTGTTAATAAAGTATAAATAGATGTTTTGTTTTGTTTTGTTTTGTTTTCTGGAATTCTCTTGTTTTTCTATGATCCAATGAATGTTGGCAATTTGATCTCTGGTTCCTCTGTCTTTTCTCAATCCAGCTTGAACATCTGGAATTTCACAGTTCACATGCTGTTGAAGCCTAGCTTGGAGAATTTTGAGCATTACTTTGCTAGCATGTGAAATGAGTGCAATTGTGCAGATTTTTGAATGTTCTTTGGCACTGCTCTTCTTTGGTACTGGAATGAAAACTGATATTTTCCAGTCCTTTGGCCACTGCTGAGTTTTCCATGTTTGCAGGCATACTGAGTGCAGCTCTTTCACAACGTCATCTTTTAGAATTTGATATAGCTCACCTGAAATTCTATCACTTGCCCTAGCTTTGTTTGTAGTAATGTTTCCTACGGCCCACTTGCCTTCACATTCCAAGGTGGCTGGCTCTAAGTGAGCAATCACACCATCATGGTTATCTAGGCCATTAAGATCTTTTCTATGTAGTTTTGTGTATTCTCATCACCTCTTAATATCTTCTGCATCTGTTAGGTCCATATTGTTTGTTTGTTTGTTTGTTTTTCTTTATTGTGCTCATCTTTGCATGAAATATTACCTTGGTATCTCTGATTTTCTTAAAGAGATGTCTAGTATTTCCTATTCCATTGTTTTCTTCTATTTCTTTGCATTGTTCACTTAGAAAGGCTTTCATATCTCTCCTTGCTAGTCTTTGGATCTCTGCTTTCAGAGAGATATAGCTTTCCTTTTCTCCTTTACCTTTAGCTTCTTTTCTTTTCTCAGCTATTTGTAAGGCCTCCTCAGATAACCATTTTTGAATCAAGATAGGCTAGAGAAACATCAACCACCTCAGATAGTCACATGATATCATTCTAATGGCAGAAAGTGAAGAGGAACTAAAGAGCCCCTTGATGAGGGTGAAGGAAGGAGAGTGAAAGAGCTGACTTAAGAATAAATATTAAAACAACTAAGATCATGGCATCCAGCCCCAATTATTTCATGGCAAGTAGAAGGGGAAAAGG